TCCAAGATTTCCTGACCTGACTGTCTGCGACTTTTTACCTGGGGGCGACTTCGCCTCCACGCGATAAATCATTCCCATGCAGGTCTTATTTGAATAAACGCAAAAAAGACCTACCAATGTTGAAAGATGATTTCAAGCCAACTATAAAGCGAGAAAAACGATACAACTGTGAAATTTGTTCGAAACCATTCAAAGATAAATTCACCTGGAAAGTGCATCTTGCCACCCATACTGGTGAAAAACCCTACGTATGTGATCAATGTGAAGCTTCTTTTGCGATGAAATCTCGTCTGACAAGGCACCGCGCATGTGAATGATTTATCACAACCATCGATATCACATATAAACGGGCGCTAGATAGAAGATAAATGAAAAAAGCATAAATGATGATTAAAACACTGGAACATATTGAGCACATGTTTGATTCACTTACCTCTCCTTTGTGAGCTCGTACGTGACGCTGCAAACGAACAGCACTGGGAAACGAAGCACCACAATCATCAAACGAACAGAAAAATGGCTTTGGTTGAGTCATGTTAACAATCAAGCAAAAATTATAAACATTAAACAACTTAAGAAAATTTTAATTTTTAAATCATATTTATTGATCAATTGTGTGCAAAGAGAAGAGGAGTAACCAATAGGGACAGAGAGAGGTCAGGGAAAGTTTAAACACTCAATCATTTCTTGAACTTTGATAATTTGCCCTGTTATTTATGCTCTGTTTTTGTGCTTTCACAGCTGTTCACTAAATCGATGGATCACTAGATCTTGGAGGCCAATCCCAAGGTCCTCTTCTTCCGAGCCACTCAGGGATTTCGAAAACTTATGCGAAATTTTGATAATAATTTGATAACGAGAAATGTAATGAAAGTGTAATGAAATTTTGAATTGCGATATCTCACGAAGCGCTTGTGACAGAATGATGAAATTCGTTCAGTATGATAATTTGACCTTGAAAATTATGATTTGACTTTATTTTCACCACTAAACACAATAGGAAAGATTTCCGACAAATGACCTTGAATGACCTTGACCTTGCAATATGACAATTGAGTATCTCCGAAATTTCTATAAACAAAATATCTAACCTCAAGTCACTATGGGGCAAAGATATAGCCATTACATCGGTAAAATTAGCTGAAATGCCCTGTAGTACCTTAACTGTACAGTAAGATTGCATTCTGTTTAGCTGTATAACCAGATTTTATTTTATTTTTTAGTTTTTCTCATTGACGATATTTTTTCATCAAGAATTTGAATCTTTAAATATGGATTGAATTTATTGTATTTCAGTGAAAAAATTACGATCAGTCATGATCGGGGGTTCCACTTGTATTAATAACAATAATACATCCTCTTCAATGCAATATAAACAAAAGTTACAAAAGTTTGACTTTTGGCTTTGAACTTGAGGCTGCTGCAAATCAAAATCTGATCTCAAATCTCTTTTCCCTAACAAGTTGTAAGTATAATATTGTCAATCTACATTCAAAATAATCAAATTTCCAATGAAAGAATTGACTTCATGATAGAAAAATCGAAAAAATAAAAGCTTTTTTCTAATTGAAAAAATGCATTCCGCAGATTCAAAAGTCATTCAAACGAGTTTCAATTTCAGTTAAGATTTGACGTTTTGGTGAATTTGAGGCATAAAACTACGTGACTTAGTTCATACAAAAAGACCGAATGTAAATTAAAAATCTCAGTTTTTATCATTACTCAAAAATGAAGCACATTTTTTAATCAGCAACAAGCAAAACTACCAAACTCTAGTAAAATAATAAACAATCAACTAAATGATCAGAAAAACAAAATCATGTCAACAAGGCGTTTTCCAACATAAATAGAATGGGGCTTTTCGTAAAGTTTAGAGATAAGTCAATGAATAAACAATTGAGAGCTCAAAGTTCGATTGATTAACCATTTTTGCTTAACTTTTATTAGTTGATTTTCAAAGATTGAACCAAGCAATTGATCAAAAAGTTCATTATGCTGAAGTTTCTTAATGAAAACAAAATTTAAAATATTTTACGACATACATAGAGATATGCTTGGGTTCGCCATGAAAGTGCCAATAACTTTCGTTAATCAAAAAACGGGCACCTACTATTTTTCACTTTTTATGTACCCCTGATGGGCTATCTAAAAATATATATTTCATTAGGAAACTCGATTACCACTTCATGCCGACCCCTTGTCAAACTTATTTTTCATGCCTTATTAAAACATTATGAAAACCCCTGATAATAGTATAGACATATATTCGCGGTGTATTAAATTTGCTGGATGGCATTAATAAAGGTCATGGCAATGAGCAACAATTAATGATTATAACTCGTGATTCTAATGGTGATCCATGGATCTGACTTGGATTCATTTGCTAGTGAATCATGAGATTATGGCCTGTGTGATGATGACAGTTGACGTTAGAGTTAAGAGTAAATTGGAAATTATTAAAGATATCTTACAAGGGAAGGTTCCCAAACAATTGAATGATTTTTGGACTAATCGATAGAGCATGTTGACTTATGAAAAATCGTCATTTACTTCGTTTCGCAAATACCCCGTTTAAAAGTTACAGGGTGTCAAAGTTGTTTTTCCATAGGTTTATGTGCTTAATGCAAGTAATGTAGATCTATGGTGAAATGGCAAAATCTGGTTTTTAATATTTCTTAATGGATGTACATTGCATTCAATAGGCTTAACCTATGCAAAAATTGATACTTTTGCCCCCTGTAACTTTTGAACGGGGTATTTGCGAAACGAAAGGCTTGACACAGGTTCATATCTGACCCATTAGAAC